GTAACGTACATATCATAGGTGAAATAGGCTTTATAAGCTTTAGAATACTTCAATGATCTCTTTTTTTTTTTTTTAATCATTTTCTCAATTAAATCCAGAAAATGTATATTTACAAACAACCGTTAAAGGCAAATAGTTTTTAAATACATATTTAAAGTTTTTTTTCATGTAGTCATGATACATTGTGCGCAAAAAATAAATCAAATACAAATAAAATTTTCCAATTAATTACATGATTCATCATTAAAACATACTGTAAGAAAAACTTACTCAAAATACGAAAATTATAAAATTTTAACACTTTTATAAACAATTACCTTTCGATATATATATAATATGCTGCTTTGATCATTGTAATTTACAGTATACTTTTTGGAACGCAGTTTTACTTACCTGAGTGATTTTGATATATTTTTCGATTACTTTCCATAAAATTATGGTTAAATTCGAATAAGAATGTTATACTAATGAATTTTTTTAAAACTTCAGTGATTGATAAACATCATCATTTTCTTCGCAAGTCAATCGCTTGGATAGGGGCATTAAAATCTAATCTATAATGTTTAGCTGTCTGTAAAAAAATTAATCGAATTTGAAAAACTAATTATATGTTTAAAAAAAAATAAGGTTAGCCATTTAAAAAACAAAACCATTCAACTTACCGTGTACAGCAAAGGATCGGCTGAGTGAGGATGGAAACCAGTCTCTCTACAATTAGCAATGTAATTTAAACCATAATCTGGAGTCAAATGGAAAAAACCAGTCCTAATAAAAAAAAAAAAAAAATCAAGTTGACCATTTCATTTTGCCAATCAAAACATTTCATTTTCGTGAAATGAACCATACGTATGTATATATACAAACATTAGTTATCGTATACAGCAGGTTTACACCCCAGTGACCCCGCTTGGTCGATGCATTCTTAAATTTTTTTTATACACTAGCTGTCACGCTACGTGCACAAAAGAACACGATCATTTGCTCCGAAGGCACGACAAAGTTCAAAAAAAGAATGTATAAAAAAATTTTTTTCTTGATTAATACAGAAATGTCTCAAAAAAACAACTTATAAATTTTTTTTTCGCGGGAGCACACACCTCCGCGGTCGAGTAGACCTTCTCTCGCTGTCGAGCGCGCACTGTCACTGCGATATGTATGTTACACCGTTGCGGTCGGCCTTGCCGATGTATCAGATGACGACGCCGCGTCGAGCCGTCATTGTCGAGTGCGTGTCGTTATCTTCGGCTCGTCGTGAGCGCCTGAAAGCCGAGAGATAAGAAATGCAAGTGCTCGGGGCGCGTCCTTATTCACTCATCGGGGTATATTGGGCACTGCACTTGTTGCTATGATTGGCAAAATGGCACTTTTTGGAAAACCAAAAAGGTGCAATTGCCAAAAAAAAAAAAAAAAAAAACAAACAAAATTAGTATTCCAAATTGAAAATTAAAAAAAAAATTTTACTTACTTGTCATATTTAGGCGCACAAACAATTGCAATGGCTTCAGCCATCATGAGTTGATATGAGCAGTGAGTATGAAGATCGACACTGGATAGAAAAGCTGTTTGTGTTGGATGTGTCTGAAATGTAAAACGTAAAACAGCATAAAAAAGAAACCTCTAAAATACTGTAGTTTTAATAACAATAAAAAATAATTACATGAATCCAGCCAAGAGTAATCAAATTGTGTTGATCTTGATAATCAAATATATCTTCTTCATTGGTTGTAATACAAGAGTCGGGAGATCCCGATTGCTTGGGTATTAATAAATGAGTCACAAATAATTTATTATGTTCTAATTTTCCTGCCAATATCCCACAGGTTTCAATGTTATGTAAAGTGTTACTGTAAGCCAATGTCAAAAAATTTTCCATTATTTTACTTGGTATAACAATTTCCCTTAACCGATCACAAGGTAACGATGATGGTTTGGTCGATCGATCAACCGTTGGTACTTTTCTGTAAAAATTACTGAATCGTATTTTTAAACACTTTCAAGCATTAAAATCATTGACTCACCTATCTCTAGACGATTGAGCTTGTTGTTCTTCGTAGTAAGGTGTTATACAAGCATTTGCAGGTAATAATAGCCTCTTTGATTTGTAATTGTCTTCTGATGTAGTTACAGCACCAGCCATTATTCCGATTTGAGGCGTTTTTAATTCTGGGAAATATGGTTGCAGTTTTCTGTCCTCCTCTTCTTTCACCCTAAAATAATAGATCGAGTAAAAAAAATAAAATGTCGCTCTTTGAATAAATTAGTTGAGCTAAAGGCAATAAGAACCTTTGTCTTTCTTTCTGTTTCAACCTTTCAGCTTCTATCCTATCCAATTCTTCAATTTCTTTCTTACACTGAATATGCTCTATTTGAAATTGTTTCTTTACTTTCTCCTTGAGTAATTCAGTCTTTGGAAAGAGGTCTCTCAGCGTGTTCCTAATTTGCTCCCTATCATTTGGTGGAATTGTATTGTACTCTGGATGATTTTCTATCTTTTCCACAAAAATTCTAAAATTAATTGAATACTCACACAATTAAATTGCAATTAATGACAGAAGGAAAAAAAGGAATTAAAATACAACATGGGAATATTTACGTTATATATCTTATGTACAGAATAAATGCTTTCTCCAAATCTCCTTCTTTCAAGTAGACATCGGCTTGTCTGATTAATTCTTTTCCTGATCGTATGTATCTAAGTGATTTTTCAAGGGAAACAAGATTCATTGTAAGATTAAATTAAAAAAAAATATTAAAAAAGTATACATTAATGTGTCAAATAGACAATCAAGTACTGATCAACCTCCATGATCAAACACAAACCTCGTGATGGAATTGTTGAGCTCGAAATGAAATTTTCTCGCGCTATCGAAGCATGTCTCCAGTCGCTTTTCCGGAGACATCAATCTCACGTCGTTCTGCCGTCTGCTTTCCATTTTTTCCCTGTCTTTTTCCATATATTTTCTATAGGAGACCGTAGGTTAGGATGGGGGTCCTATTGGAACTGATCGATCGGCGTTACGGCGAAACTGTCCTACTTAACGAACAATGAATAAAGACAGTGATCGGAGTGATCGTGCGTTGTTGTTATTACTTAAAAAACACATACATGCGAAAATCTGACATCGATTTCCGACCGCGACGATTCAAGAAATACACGATCTGCGAATGCATTTTCACACATCACTGTGATTTCGTGATGTGAATAAAATGTATTGTACATGTGTCGTGTCTGTGTGTACATTTTGTTCGCTGTATGTCTATACTTCACAATCAGCTGTAACGCTAACTTAGATTGACGCATTGTACAAGGTGAAAAAAAAAATATATAAAATGCGCGAAGTAACGAAAATACAACGATATTTGAATTAAGTGCGCTAAAACAGTTTTAGAATAAGCAGTTTGAGTTTAAGTATAAATACAAAAATGAGCTATGAAAATGTAGCTGCTAATGGTGAACCGGAGGAAAAAAAGAGGAAATTGGAGGAAACTGGTTCCCTTGGAGGTAAGAAATAACCAAAAGTAACACTCTCGTTGCAATTGTTCTTTCAAATTATTTATGTTATTTTCAGCTGTTTTAAGTAATTTGAAACAATCCGAATTTTATAATAAAAATGAAATAGCCGAGTTGAAAAAAGAATCTTTCGAACTGTCAAAGGCCAAAAGCTCGTCTAAGGGAAGTCCGTTACTTATCAATCCAAAACAAGTAGGTCTCTTGAGTAAATTGTAAATACTTATTCTGGACCAATGTTAAAACTAATAAGTACCTACATCACCTATTTTTTGTGTGCTTTAGAGAGGCAATAAAGTGATTAAATACATCACTAGTGTACCATATGAGTATGTGGACATAGTACCGGATTACGTTCCAAGCAAAAGTTCCTGTATTTTATTTTTGTCTCTTCGTTATCATCAATTGAACCCTGATTACATACACGAAAGATTGAAAATTCTTGGCTCATCTTACACTCTTCGTGTACTTTTGGCGCAGGTATTTTTTAATAAAATCAAATATATCATAGTACTTGTGATTAATGATCTCCGTTTCTGTCACAAGGTTGATGTTCCAGAGCCACATCATTCGTTGAAAAACCTAACAAGAATTTGTCTTCTGGCTAATTTGACATTGATGCTGGCATGGAGTCCAGAGGAAGCAGGAAAAATTATTGAAATGTACAAAGTTTATGAAACAAAACCACCTGACATGATTATGGAGAAAAGTGACTCTGCACCTCTACAAAAAGTATGACCATACTTAGCTGCACAATGAGAGTTATACATTTATTTTTCATATTATCTAACATGACATTTTTTATTTTAGCTGAGCAATGCCTTAACATCTGTTCGATCTGTAAATAAAACTGATGCAACGAATTTTTTGACAACATTTAAAACACTCGAAGGAATAATTAATGCCCCAGTAGGATCATTAGCTTTGTGTCATGGAGTTGGTCACCATAAAGCACAAAGGCTATACAAAACGTTGCATGAACCATTTCTAAGAGAAAAAAATAATTAAGAAACCAACATTTTTTGTACGTTTGCATGTTATACATTCAAAATACTTATCGAATTGATTTAATATAAATAAAACCAATCCTCTTGGTAAAAAAAGAACCTTGTACGGCAATCCTAACACTCTTGGCACTTGGTATCATTTAATCAGTAAAAGCAGGCTTTTTTTTCTCTTTTTCAAAGTATAGTCAAAACTCAAAATGAAGTGCTTGACGCTTGACGCGGCGTCAAAGTACATATTTTTGTTGTGACGCCTGTCGTCTGCTTGAAAGTGCACACACATCAGCGCGGGAAATATTTTCATCCAAAGTCCAAACTCTCATTCAAGTCTTGAACAGCACAAATATTGAATAGTCAACTTTTTATTATTTTATTTCCATTAATTTTAATTTATCTTTTCTAATTCAATATGCCAAATAAAAGAGGAAAAAAAACAGTGTCCAAAAAAAAGACTGAAGGTAAAGAATTTTACTTTAACATCCACTTTGAACGTTTATAACCTGTACTTTAGTACATTTGTTTTCATTATTAATAATAACATTAATCTGTTTTCTTTTTTTTATATATCAAATGAAGACGTTATAGTTAGGAGAAGTGCAAGGAACAAGGCTACAGTCAATTATAACTGTATGGATTCAGACGATTTTGAAAAATTATCTGTATGTGACGAAGAGGACTTTGAGTTACAATTCCATGAAAACGACGACTTCCAAGATGTTGAAAAACAACCTACTGGTTAGAAGCAATCACATAAATAACCTGCTGTACATAGAAGATGAATAATTATTTGAATATTTACAAATTTTAGCATTATTCGTGGAAGGTGAAGTTGAGGGTAAAAAAATTTGTCCAATACCTGACTATAGAGGTATTAACAAAAATTCAATGATTGAAGCTGCCAAGAAGCTTAGTGAACATGAGAACAAAGGAAAAAAAGTTTCAAAAGTTAAAGCTTCTAAAGTAAAAAAAAAGTTGACTGTCTCAGAAAAAGAGAAAAAAAATCCTGTCAACAAGGAAAATGAGCAAGTAATAGAAAATGTGAAGAAACAAAGTGCACCAATTCGAATTACAAGAAGAACGGGAAAAGCTACTGAATATGTAGGATTTAAAGCTTGGTAGAGTGTAAGTTGTATTTTTTATTTTTGTCTATCACCATTACTTTTTGCAGCTTATGGATTCAGAAAATTACTTTGCCATTCAATCAGAAAAATCTGTCACATCAAACAATACCTTGAGTAAACTGAAAAAACAAGACGAAAAACAGTTACAAGATTTACTAAAAGTCAGTAATCATGTTCCAGAAGTTTATAAAAATATAATTAAAGCTAATTATGATTCATTGAAAATGGGTTACATTGAATGGATTCAAATCATGGAGTAAGATGTAAACAATAGTTTTAATTCTTTGTAGAAATGAAACATTTTTTAACTATGAGAAATTCGAATATTTTAGAGAGGGTTTTAACATATTATTGTACGGGTTTGGATCTAAAAGATCACTGATCAATGATTTTTTCAAAGAGATAATTCCTGATGAACCAACGTTAATAATCAATGGCTTTTTTCCGAATTTGACTATAAAAGAGGTAATAACTTTGTTTGACGGAGAAATGTGTTGTTTACTTTAATAAAATAAAAACCAATTGAATTTTGTCATTCCAGATATTGGATGATATTATAGTAGAATTATTAGGATTAAACACAGCTCCTAGTCAAAACGAATGTTACGATATCATAAAAAGAACTATGAATAGTTATCCTAATGAACGCATATATTTATTGATACACAATATTGATGGAGAAATATTGCGTACACAGAAAACTCAAGAAATGTTGTGTCGTTTGGCGAACATACCTAATGTTCATGTATTGGCCTCAATTGATCATATCAACGCTCCTTTAAGTAAATAATTAATTTATTTGTTACTTGAATGTTACGAAATTCCATGCCAACTATTTACGTAAATTTTTTGGATTTCAATGCAGTATGGGATAACGTGATGAGAGCCAAGTTTAATTTTTACTGGGTTGAAGCTAGAACATACTTACCATACGAAGCCGAAACATCCTATGAAAGCTCATTACTCATTCAGAAAAACAGTGGGCTTGCTCTGTTGTCAATGAAAAATATATTTGCTTCATTAACAACAAATGCCAAAAAAATATTTATGACCGTTATCAGGTACCAGTTGGAAAATAGTGGCCTCAATTACTCAGGTTAGTATTATTTTCATTTTTGGCTGAATTACATATGAAATATTTATTTGAATTTAATTGTTACAGGAATGACTTTTAAGGATCTGCTCACAGCAAGTAGAGAAAATTTTTCTGCATCATCAGATCAAGTATTGCGTGCTCAGTTAACTGAATTCGTTGATCACAAGCTTGTAAAATTTAAAAGAAATCTCGATGGAGCTGAGTGTTTGATTATTCCGTTAGATAATGCTATATTGAAACAATTGCAGGAACAATACAGTTCGATACAATAAACGCGTGTTGATATATATTAAAATTAAAAGCCATTTAAAACAACATATTTTTTTATTGTACAATTATAGTTGCAAGCAGCAATTACTTTGTTTTTATTAACATAAAAATAATGATAATAATCGATTGACAATTATTTCCTAAACTCTAGAGGGCATACATTTAAATACTTCATTTTGGATAAAAAAAATGAAGAATCCAAATATTTTCTACTCCTATCTCCTATTTTACCAGCAGCTGGCAACATGACTGAGAAGTTTTTTCATATGCCCGGATTTGACGTCACCGTTTATATTTATAAATTGAAAATAAGAATTGGACAACAGTATCAATAACAACAACGTATTAATTTTTTTTGTCATATAATGAAGATAAATTTTGTTATTGGGTGATGCTGACGTAGATCAAAAAATAAATTTGTAAATTTGCGACTCGCGGCATTTTGTCACATTGCAAACTGAATCGACAGAGCAACATAATACACACACCAACACAAAAATCTGCACATGAAAATTTTGCATAAAAGTATAGTCAGTATATATTCTGCAATGATTCTTCAATGACATATAATTATATTGCTTGTATTCGAAGTGAAAGTGCAAACAGCGAAATTTCGAATGCAGCGTACAGTGCGCGCTGTTGTTGCAAAACACGTGCAAATTATCAATTATAATTACAATTTTTGCGAAATAGTGCGTCCCAAACGACAACCGCATCTGGACACTTGGACAGTAAGGGCGTTATATACAGTGGCCACGGCTATAGCCTTTTATTGTTAAAGGAGTGACCATGTATATGTACATGTATATAAGTTATAGATACAGATATAGTACCGTCGGCTGATGATGTGTTTAAAAACGTGCCGGTTAATGTAGTGCACACACAGCTATTGAATTGTCCCCTTCCGCCTTCGTCCTGTTCGAAGAGGTAATCGCCGTTGTCGTCGTCGACAACAGTTTGGTGATCATCAGCGCAAACGTTATTAACTCATCTGTTTAAGTATACCTGTACAGTAACAAGTGTGTCTGTGTGTGTATTTTGTTGTACATCGCGACCTTGAACTCATCGTACCTGCCTTATAGCAGGGGTTGAGTCTCAAAAATATCCGAAAAAGTTAACAAATAAATAAGGTTAAGAAGTGAAGGAGTGAGAAAGACAGAGTGGAAGAGTATACAGATGAGGAGAGGACTCGAAAGATTTATCAGTTTATCGTCCACTTGTGAAGCCTCTCTGTGTTGCGGATAACGTCGAGCCTAACCTCATCCAAACTTTCCGAAGAAATTGATGAGTTTCGCCTCCTCGCAGGCGTAGTTTCTCCTTGACTGCGACTCGCGAATCCGGCCAGGGCTGAAAGAACTTTTTTTTTTTACCTTCCTTCACAAACCCACCTTCGGTGCTGTTTCTGCAATACCTAAGCTATTCGGTAAGTTGTGAAATGTTAATTACGACGAATCCTGGTAGCCTTCACTGTTTTGTTTTTTATTTCTTTTATCGACTGATCATCCGTCATGACTTGTTTTTTGGCAAAGTTCGTTCGACTATAGCGTGTTATTTATCAGTTTTTTAGATGTGCATTTATAAATAAATGCAAAAAGTTTGTGAGTCGATATATATATATATATATATATATTGTACGTCTATGCAGTTGTGTGTGTGCCATCAGGGAAATGAGAGAACGTGGGTTGAAATGTCCCCGATGGTTGGCTCGAACAAATTAGCGGTCATTCAGCTGCGCTGTTTTTTTTTTTTTTTTTTTTTTTTTTTCACGCTATCTTGCTTGCGATGCGGGATGTATAGGTGCCCTCCTGTATATACTTATCCAAGATCAGCCACACACATAATACTAGATATCAGGTTTTAATTGATTAGAAATTACGTGCTCTGTCGCGTATGCTTATATTACTCGACGAACCGAGTTCCATGTTTTTTTTAAATTTTGTTTTTTAATTTTTTTTTTTTTTTTAATAATAAGTACTTGCTCGACTCTGTTAAATTAAGGTGAAAATTTCATTACGAAGCGTCGCGCGTTGTTTGGTTATGATTGTTTGTTGTTATTTTTAACATTTTTTTTTGTTCCTTATTTTTTACAGTGGCATATCGTTGAGGAGATACGTATGGGAGGCAATGGATTCGTAGAGCATGCACTGGTGAGTACAATTTTTTTTTTTTGTTTCTTTTTTTTTCTTGAACGCTCGTTTAGTAAGATGATTCGTCAATTGAGCATGACAATTAAAACTAACTGAAAAAACCGAGACGAGGGTAAAAAAAAGCATAACGTGCCTCAGGGGCGCTCGAGCGGCACCGACGAGATCGTCAGCTGTGCATGACAGTTTTCAAAGTCGAGTATTTCCACAAAGATTACGACATTCCCTCGACAATTGGACGTTTTCTTTGTTATTGCCTTTATAATAATTCAAATAATATTTTTTTCATGTATGTTGAAGCTGATATACTTACTTGATAAATTTTTTTTTCTCGGCCTTGGGTACATGAAAAATCAAAAATCGCGTTCAACCCACGGCCGGAAGTAAAAAAATCTCAGATCCTATTTTTGTCATAACAATACTCGTACAATCTGAGACTTTCTTACTAAAACTTTATAGTTCTACACTAAAATATGTAAATATTATTTTTATGTCTCTGAGCTCCCACCTCGAATAAATCAGTATATGTTTTTTTTATTTTTTTATTATTATTTTTTTTTAATGCGCTATTTCTTACGAACAGTAGCTCTAAAAATGTCTACAGTATCCCGATATTCCAATTATAATAATGACATTAGAATCCACACGATAATCCCTCGTCAGCCATTTGCTCTCGATTGGAGTTTATGATCCATCTTATTATAATATTACTTTGTCTCGATTAAATACATCACGTAAATAAATAAAAAAAACTGGGTTATTTTGAAACTCTACTCTTTAATGAAAAGATATACTTTAAATTCTTTCTCTCTGTCATAAATCAAAACAATTTCAATAGTCAAAGAAATTGAGTTTGCATAAGTATTTTATACCGTGAATTCTTGGTAAAAAATTTGATTTTCCACTCAATTTATTTCGTTTCAAAACAAGTGATTCTTTTGTCACTTGCGTTACCATATCACACCTACAATTGAAATCGTATTGTAGATACATTGCGTTCCGTGAAACGAGACACTGGTTGGCATTTCAGAGGCGCGATACGATAACTTGCTTACCACGCTCGCTCAGGCCTATTTACCAGCGGATACCCGAGACCGCTTTTATTCGCCTTTTTCTGGTATTTAGTACAAATGTTGTACTGCGTATTTTTTTTTTATTGATTAGAATTTGTATTGCCACACCCGATTATCTCGACACGTCGATTAATTAGTAAACCAGCCAAAGAATACAAATGTTTTTTCTAATTAATTATAGATTAGTCGGCAAATTTTTTATTTGTAATGTAATGTATAAAACTGTATACTTGGTAACATTTATTTTGAGTACATCACGCAGAAATTAAAACGTTCGCTCGTTTGATTACGAAACGTGTATTTGGAATTCTGGTTCGTTGATTAAAAGTCGTAAGGAAAAAAAAAGAAAGAAAAAAAAAAAACATTGACGGTTGAAATATTTTTCATCGGTCAAACGATTCCCGTACTCTTATCGTGATCTAGATTCCACCAATCATCGTTTTACGTTGGCGAATTTACGACCGCGCGATTAAAGGTCTGTTGAAAGTATGGAGACGTAAAAAAAATTAACGATCCTTGCATACCACTACTGAGCTCTGAAAACTGAAAATCTGCTCTTTTTTTCAAACATTTAACGTAAGTCTCTGTAAAAACACAACTTTTCATTACCATAGGTACGATATTCTCCAAGAAGTAGAATAAATGTTCCAGACCGAAAAAACAATGAAAAAGTATATTGTTAAAATCTATATTTTGTTAAGACCTGCACGTATGTATTTTATGTCCCATAAATTCGACCGAACCCATACCACATATATAAAGTAAACAAGAAGTAAGTCGAGCGATCCATCGATATACACGATTCTGTCGAGCTGGTAAGTCGAGCGCTAAAAATATTTATTTCGCCGAAGCGTACGATTCCGCGCGCCCCACACCAGCACGTCGTAAAATCTCAAATGGTCAAGTTGGAAATTTTTCGATCGCGACCTAATACGTACAATGGTTGGCTCTGCACTGCACCGCTATATATCGCGACCTTCTTCGCTTATCGGGCTTTAAATTACTTCTAAGCCATACGTGCTCGTTGTGTACGTCATAAAACATTACTATTGTGTGAGGTGACACAAAAAAGTTCCAATAACTTTTTTTTTTTTTTTTTTTTTGTTTTACCGTACGAACGTGACAGAAATTTAAAAACATTTTTTTATTTTAAAGGTCATTTAAATATCAAATATGCACACCATGAATGAATTACATGAATGAAGGACGCTGACGTCGATAAATTGGCGTTTCGATGTTACCCCGCGGCTGAAATTCATCGTCGAGCTTATGGTTGAAATTGAATCTGTCAGATGGCGCTCGCCACAAAAATCCCCAACGATTTATCACCCTACAATTCAATTGCTTTAATCAAATGACATAAGTAGACAAAAAATGTTTTTTTTGTTTTGTTGTTTTTTTTCTAATAATCAATCACTCTTGTTATGCATTAAACCTATCGCTTACCTAAAATAATTAAGCTTTCGATCATTTCAATGTGTGCGAACAAAGGAACTTTTGGGAAATAACGTCCTTTTTCGCAAAAACGCTTGAGCTAAAAAGTTTTTTTCCGCCCGAATCAGCGTCGGGAGAATCACACTGTACGTATACCTATACTTTACTTCTTGCACGGCCTACTTGAGCTGCTTTGGTTGTACTTGTATACACACATAAAAATACTTACCCGCAATATTTATATGCCGCAAGGGCACGAAATCGGCAACGTTTCTCCCGCGAGAGAAAGTCCTATCCGAGAGAGTCATTTTCACTGCGTAACAAACTCTCTTCAGGCACAGGTATATATTATATATATATTGGTATGAGATACTTACTCGCGCCCGCGCCCACCTTTCCCTCCTCTCCCTCTCTCGGTAGCGCCAAAGATTTTCCCTTTTCTCTTTCGGCACTTCATTTTCAGCTGTTGCATGTACCTATATACATACCCGATCCACGTTTCAAACATAATATAACATACACAAACACTCGTCTGTAAACTGCTCCGGCGCAAAATCTAATTCCCCCCTCTGGGCACGCGAGAGAGCAAAGTGAAAGCAGTCGCGGCAGTGCATCGCGTTCGCCCTTTGGCGAAATTTGCCCGTCGAATGTACAAGTACTTATATCGGTTCAAAGGATGCCGAGCTCTTTCGCGTTTTCTCTTCTCCTCGTGTCGACGTACCGAGCAAATCCGAAGCTCAAAGCTATATATATATATGTGTACAACAGCCCAGTCGACAATTTTTTCATCGACACGCACGCCCTTTCTCTCCTGCTCTTTTTACATCTGACACTCGATGCTACTCGTGTGCAGGGTAATACGTGATCAAGGATGGCCCGTGTCTTCTTCTTCTTCTTTCGACGGCCCCTCGTTTAATTAAACGTAATGCGACCTCCTCGTCTGCATCGATCTCCACCGGGGGCCGATCAATCAATCGGATGGCTTGGGGCAGGACAACGAAGGGAGAGTGCAGTCCCCCCCCCCCCCCCGCTTTGAATAATGTCCGATCTTGTCAATGGTCTCGTTACGTAAAATAAAAAGTGTTTACCCACACCTGCGAAACTAATATGGAGTACTCGTGCGTGGGAATTGCAAATTTTTGCTGATTCCGGTTATTCATCCGAGTAGCAACATGTAAAAAACACACACGCACTTTGGATAAAATGTTGAAGTTTATCTATCAGATTAACAAAATACGCCCACGCTCCGTGTTGATTAACCAATCTCGCGATAGCAGTCCCCGATCGTATCATTTATGTAGTTGTATACATACGACTTTCCGTACTTACGTATAATTGTGACCCGATCGAGCGAAGGTTTATCAGACGGCACAATAACTACGTAAGCCCGTCTGCACAGGCTCTATATTAATTATTGCGATGATCGCAACTATATACTGCTGTCGCTGTAACATCATGCTGCTGCTGAAGCAATAATACTTACCTATTATTATACACACACTCAATGCTCGAGTTTGCGAGTGATAAATCCGGGCTGAAATTTTCTGTCGATAACCCCCCAAAGGGTATAGTAGGTATACCCAATGAAAGTTAAAAACAAACCCCCAAACCTCCACGGTTTGTGAATCCGAGATAGTTAATGTTGCTTGAAAAATCATAAGGAAACAAAAAAAAAAAACACGTGTAATTAGCGCGATGCCTCTGACACATTGCGTACGCCACATGTATGTGTAGGTACATCGAAAATTTCGGAGAAAAGAAGAAAAAAAAAAAAGAGCCAACGGAAGAAGAAGCCGGCGCAGGAAATTTAAGTACGCGGCGTAATCGGGGTCGCTTCAATCTCGTTCTGCCTTATGTGTGTATATACGTACGTATGTATCATATTTATGAAACACGAAACGCAGGAGCAAAAAAGAAAAAATTGTTTTCGTTCGTCCCCCTCCCCCCTCCCTTCCATCGTATGAAAACAGCGCAACTTTTTTTTTTATCCTTACGTGTGAGCATACGTTCGGTGCATCCGGCATGTAGGACAATACGACCGTGTTACTTTAGCGATCAAGGGAGAACAGACCATGAGTGCTGTTCTCTCTCTTTTTCTCGCGTCAGCAAAGTTATTGTACACCTATATATATACTTAGTATAAGGTATAGAGTACAGTAGCTCTGCTCGGTGTCCTTGACTGGTGCTGCTCGTATATATATACCGCTACCGCCGCGGCAATGTCGATTTTTTTTTTTTTTTTTTTCTCTTCTTTTTCCTACACAAGTGCTCTTGCTATGTTCACCGGCTGCGTGCAACTAATTCCCATTCATCGATTCGGGTCATTACCAATCCGCCAGGGCCTCTCCCTGCCGATCTCGTTCGCACTTTGGCCGCATCCTATATACATATACACAAATACATAATATGCCCGAGCGGGTACAGAAATAGTACCACCACTAGCCCTTTTGGACGACTGTGGTGGTAATTGAGAGGCCTCTCCTCGGGTCAGAGACA